TCTACTGTAAGCGAATTTAAAATTTTACATGGAATAATATTTTCATTTGAAAATCCAAATTCACCATTTTGGTTCCAATAAATAATTTTTTATGCAACTGAAATTAAGTAATATGTAATTCGAGCAATTTTGTTTGTTCCCCATTATCCTACAAATATAAGAATATTGAGACTGTAGGAACCAGATATGTTTTGCCAACAAAAAACGTTTCCTTGTACGTCTGACAGTTCACCGGAAGCGCCGTCTCGTCGGAAGTACAGCAGAAGAAACTGAGACTATCCCAGGGGAGTATTGTTTCCGCCGTCAGAGCATTTGATAAATCCGTCTAGTTTTAAGGCGGCTAGAGAGGAAAACGACGAGTATCAGGAATATCGACGAGTCCCTCAGAGGAGGATAAGGATTCGAAAAAGAAAAGAAAATAAAGCGACGCGGGAGGAGGATGGGGGGTGACTCGGAAAAGCTCTGAGAAACGACGACCACGGAATCGAAAGACGATGCCAGGCGTAGTCGGTCGGTTGTTTTTTTTCTTTTTGTTTTCTGCTCTTTCTTTGATACGACGACAGCGACTTGGAAAGTTGGTCCGAGACATCTCAGGTGTTCTTTAAGTCTCTCATTCATCGGCTGGCGCGTACGAGACATCCGAACTCTCGACAGCGTGGAACACAATGCGCCAAAGAATCGAAAAGAGTTTCTTTCAGCGAGAGAAAATTTACAATTTTTATGGTTTTTCGTTGCGTCTTCGCGATGTTGCTGTCAATCGATTCGTGACGTTTCTACGGTGAAAATGAGCCCAAACATGGTCTTGTTTTAGTTAATATTAATTATGGTTGAGATAAATACCCCCTCCTAAAGAAGGAAAATTCTATTTTCATAAGTTCTAGTTATAATTCTAGGCTAATCCATGATGATACTGTGAGAAATAAAAAGTAGTATATTAGGACTGTATAGTCCTCTGCAAACTTGAAAACAATTATGAATTAATCAGAATGTCAAAAGTAAGAACGTTAGGAAATTGTAAAAAAGACATGGAAAATTATTTTTCACGTATCTGAGATGTACTTTAATTTTTTGATATTGTATAGACTTTTACAGATGTAGTACTATCTTGAAAGCAATTATGAACCAATTATAGCATCAAAAGATGATCGTTAAAAAATAGTAAAAAATTTAGAATCGATGGATGACGCCAGATCGATATGTTCTTTTTATTCTTTCCAGGATAGGCGACTAGTAAAATTGGCACCGTGTATCCGAGGTGTGCTCTAAGCCTCTCATTCATCGTGTGGGTGGCGCGTACGAGACATTCGAACTCTCGACAGCATAGAGCGTCGCACGATGCGCCGAAGCAACAGAGAAAAAGGGAGGACACGGTGAATGGGGCTGTTAGGGAAAAGGGGGTCAAACGCGTACGATGCAACATGCAGCGCTACATCGGCGCGGCGTACACGTCGTATATTAAAGGGGAATAAAAGGGGAGAAAATGAACGGGCGAGATGCACGAGGAGCGAAATTGGAACAGAGAGAGGAGACGGAGGACCGATCTAGTGAACGAAAAAAAATTAGAAGCGGGGGAATAGCCTGGGGGGAAAAGTCGCGGCTTGAAAGGGCACAGATCATCCCCCCTACCCCCACCACCACGGAAGATTGCCTCTTCGATCAAAGAAACTCTGATTTGCTCCAGGCGTAGACGCACAGTGTGCACTTCGGTTTTAATAATTTCGTGTTTTGTTCTTCGTTAACACCAGAACTACCAAAGTAGTCAAAATAACCCATTCGTAGTTTCTAATTAAAATTGTAAAAAGTTATTCAACTGGATTTTTATAAGAGAATGAATAAACAATTATTTCCATTATACATTTCTTCAAGTATATGTATACCGTCTTAATTTCTTTGACACTATAATTGTCGGTAGTTCTAGTGTCAAAAGGGGTGTTGATGTAGGTAGATTAATTTTTAACAGAGAGTATGTTGCAGATTGAAAAGGGAATTTTTGTACGAAATTAATAGTGGTTTTTAACATTTTTTTCCCAGCTGTTTCCAACCCCCAATGAAGTACCCTTTTCATACCATGTTTTTTAAACTGATATTCACAACCCTTAACACATTAACTGCTAAGCTATAGAGCTATAACTGATGAGCTATAGAAATTATTTCTCAAGATTATATGTTAAATAAAATAAATCTAGATAGAGTTTTGAATTTTAACAAAGCTGTATTAATAAGTCCTATGGCAAATTCTAGGTATGTTAGTTTCCAATTATCTAAAAACGAAGTTTTGCTTTCGTGGACATATTTGAGGGGTTTGGTATAACAGTCAATGTATTAAAATAAAATAATTTCAAAATAATAGAACGACACTCTTGAATAGTATTTTAAATTGTTATCTTTATTCCTTTGCCAAAATATTCGTTTCCTAAAATCGTGGGGCATAAAATAAAGACAATCGAGCAAGGAAGATGGCTGCTTTCTATTTTTTACTAGTACATTTTGGGGTATAAAAATGCCCCATTACTGTGAACACACAATAATAAAGGTCAAATTTTTATTTTAAAAAATTCTATACATTCCTTTTGCGTTTTCTATGATTCTCAAATTATTTCTCAGCACTTCTTTGATAATATCATCAAAGTTCTCGCCATTATTGTACCAAAATGGCGAATCAAATGAATTCTAGATGAAGAACACGACTCGAGTCGACCAACTGGCCTTTAATTCGATTCCTACGGTAACTGAATTTTCGGGGAGGGGTAGGGGGGGCAGTCAGGGAAACATTTAAAAACGCACCACCCAGTACGTGACGGCAGCTGCTCGATGCAACAGCTGACGCACACGTACGAAAGAGACTCTTTGTAATTTCATTGTTTGCGCTCCGACTCACGTTCGCGTTTTGTGCCTGGTCGATGTACGTTTCGGTTGGAGTGCACACGGTTATTGAATAATTACGCGGGCCGCACGTAATGCGTCTTGAATAATTATTACATGCCGGGGTTGATCCCATCAACGGGTCGTTCGGACGCCGCCCGACTGTTCCCGCAATTATCGGTATTCGGATTCAAGAATACACGGTGAATCCGTCGATCGATCCCCCCACTCTGCTCCCCCCTGTCGGTGTACGCGCGTGTAATTCGCATTGTTTCACCTCGTTACCGTTTGTTTCGAGCGGATGGTTTCACCGCAATTGGGATTTAAGCTTAATTAATTTTACCCGATGTTTATCGCGCAATTCGATGTCAACTGACGTTCAAATAAAACCTAATTGGTACGCCGACCGAACTGGCACGTGGTGTTTATCGTCCAATGATAATGAACAGCCGACGGATTACTTTGATTAAGAATGATGGAGCGCGAGAATAACCGGCGAAGTGCGCGGTTCGAGGCTCGTTCGAATACGCGGGGGTTTCTCATTTACGTTTGAAAATTGTTTTAGGTACTACGGGGCGATGATTCTTAAAATGAATGGTGTTTCGGGGTTGATGTGTTCATTTTTCGTATAGGTGGATGGGGATTTCGACGCTGAAGGATGTTTAACACAAATGATTCGTTAAATGAACATCGTTTCGAGGCGAATTTCGACATTGAGGGATGTTTAACAGGAATGATTCGTAAAATGAACATCGTTTCGAGGCGAATTTAGACATTGGGGGATGTTTAACAGGAATGATTCGCAAAATGAACATCGTTTCGGGGCAAAATTCGGCATTGGGGGATGTTTAACAGGAATGATTCGTAAAATGAACATCGTTTCGAGGCGAATTTCGAGACTGGGGGATGTTTAACAGGAATTATTCGTAAAATGAACATCATTTCGAGGCGAATTTCGACACTGGAGGATGTTTGACAGGAATGATTCGTAAAATGAACATCGTTTCGAGGCGAATTTCGACATTGGGGGGCGTTTAACAGGAATGATTCGTAAAATGAACGCCGTTTCGAGGCGAATTTCGACATTGGGGGGCGTTCAACAGGATTGATTCGTAAAATGAACGTCGTTTCGAGGCGAATTTCGAGACTAGAAGATGTTTATACAGTACTGATTCGCAAAATGAACATCATTTCGAGGCGAATTTTGAGACTCGAAGATGTTTATACAGTACTGATTCGTAAAATGATCTATTCAACTAATATCACAACAGGAACCACCGTTCATACGTTCCTTCCTAAAAGGATTAAAACAATATTTTTTTCTGGAAAATCTATAAATATATGGAAGTAAAAATTTATAAATTATATAACATTCAAGCAACTTTATTGTAATTATTTCTTTTAATTTGGTCAGAATTTAATGCATCTGATTATATACATTCATGTTATATGATTATATTATTAAATTACTAAATAATTTAACGTGATAAATAGTATATTTTTAAGAATATCTTTCTAGAGTTTCTAAGCTATGATTTCTAAATGCCAGTTGGCAAGATTTGACACACGAAGCATTGTCTTTGGATCTTCCAAGTTGGGAGTGATAGAAATGTTCAATTTACGAATCACGTCTGGGACTCATTTTAAGAATCATTACTCTAATTTGAGATTTGACAGAAATGTTGCTTCTCTGAGTGTCAAACACCCTGATGTTGATATTCCCAAATTTTAATCCTAAAACACCCCTTTTTTTATAATTTAAATCATTATTTTCCTGCACTATTTGACTCTAAGCAATCTTTTCACACAAAAACTAAGTACGATTTTAATTTTGCCCATGCAAAACCTCTTTCCAGAGTACACAGAGTACATTTAAACCAGCGTTGCTCAACCTATGGTCCGCGAAATGATAATTGCTTAAGTAGCCTTTGTTACAAACAGAAATTCTTTTAAACCATTCTTGATAGACACGAGACAATATTATACTTTTCAAATAATTTTTTCATTTCTATGGTATGATTCCCGAGTGGAGTCTTGGAGGGCAACAAAAAATAATTCAAGGGTCAGGCAACAGGTTAAGTACCGCTGGTTTAAACGATGCACACCAACGAAATATCGATTTAGCCAAGTTCACTGACCTTATGATGAGAGGAATGGCCCGTGTGATTGGCGGAGGTGTGATTTCCGGCGGGAAGAGATGCCAGGTCCTCGATGGTTAACTCTGCTAAGGCGTCGTTGCCACCACTGCAACCGCCTAGCAAGCCGCCTGCAATGACGCCGCCGCTTCCTGGACTGCCCCCGATGCAACCTCCATCCGACCTTACAACGTTCGCGGAGGGTCTCTTCTGCACCCTCCTCGAGGTCACCAGTTCCTTCACCCCTGACAACTCTCGCCTCGAACCGCCCACGTATCTAAAAAAAAAAAAAGCACGTGCGATTCTCGTTACTGTTTACCTTCGACGCGAGGGTGACATGAAAGAATATTAAATAAAAAGTTAGTACAAAGCCTCGCGTTATCGTAACGCTCTAACGACTTTGCTTTGACGCAAATAGCGTACAATATCCTGCAAGACTGAAATTTTAATTTCAAATAGCTATAAAATATATTTAAAATTTGTTTCGCTACTTATTTTTGTAACCTTGTTGAAATAAATATTATTCAAATTTATTTAACATCACAAATTTGAGAATTTTTTTAGTGGAAAACTACGTAGTGGCAGACTCGTTCTTCGACCCTCAGACGACGCGTCGGGGTTCATTATGGATCCCTCGTTATTTCGTTAAACCCTCCGCAGACATGCATATATGCATAGTAAAAGTCGTGTTACTTTGCTTCACGATGTTGCAAATAAATAATAATAAATGTTCGAGTCATTTAACAGGGCGAAAAATAAGGAAAATAGCGGCCACGAGCTTGGAGAAGGAAATGCAGTGTGTGGATGCGCCAGTAGAGGGCTACGCTCTCTCGCAAGTGCTCGATCTACCATTGACTGTCATGGCGTCTAAACAGGCTCATTTCTTCCTTCTGTTATCTCACAGATATTTCTCATATAATTAATCAAAGTATTAAGAATATTACATGGACGTCAAGAAAAATAAATATACATGGTTGAGTATAAAAAAAAACTCTATAAATTATTGCACAAATAATTACTCGAGTAAATAATTCCTTCCATTAATACCCTCAATGCTCAGACATCGGATTAAAACTAAAAAATAGAATTAAAACTAAAAATGAATTCTCAAGGCTCAGACATGGGATTCACGAATTTCAATAAGATTGCAAAAATTAATACCGTGTGGCAAATGTTAAATAAAATTAATTTCACAGCTTCCAATCGCCCAGAAAGAAAATGTCGACCTCGTAGAACATTTCAAGGATTTTATCTGACCTCTTTGGTAAAAGGCCATTCTCTTTCTAGAGGTCATGGTCTCCGAGAAGAAACCTAGAATACAATCTGGAGCAGCAGTTTTCCATTTGGGTGGACACGGATAAGATAAAGGGAAGAACACCAAGAATCGGATGTGCTAAACAATGGCGGCCATGTAGCTTCTTTTGTAAGGTGACTCTGACAAAATGGACGCTTCGAGAGGCATCGTGACCGACTCCAGGACCGTGGAACGTGCCAAATGAGGGTGGATTTGAATCGTATAGAAATCGCTCTATTAGCGAGATTAGATCCACGAGCCAATCCACTCGACGAACAGTGTGTCTGTTAAGCTGTTCGAAATCGATGAGTTGCTGTTCGACTGTCCTATCCTTTCTCTTTGTCCGGCGGGCTTCTCCTGCCCCGTTGTCAATTAAAATTGGACTAAAGTTATCGGGTTGTCGTCCTTTCGTTGACCGTACGACGTCCGGGACACAAAGTGACTACGTACGCCTGTTTCTGTCTCGCTTGACTCTTTTAAAGTTGTCCTGGACGTTGTGTCGTACGTTTGAAAGGTGATTCGAAACTTTGCAGGCTCGTTAACGCCTTATTTATGGGGTTTTGGGACCACCGATTCGGAGTAAAAAATGTCGAGGGGAATGTTCACTTCATCCCCCATTTACAATCACTTGGAGGAATTTATTAAGTTTTATCGAGGCTATTTTGTTGTAATAAATGGCTTAAAAATTGTAGGAAGATGAGTGTTTACTACGTTTTCAAAATGCAATGTAAAAGAAAATAGTATGAATCGAGATAGGTGGAAAATTTGTGCAAAATAAAAAGCTAGATAGGCAGATTTACGAGATGCCAAACAAAGCAAGAGCATGAGGAAAATATTGAATTATTAAAATAAATTATTTACTAATAAATGTGAATATCTCTTGTTATAATTTGAACAGTTGAAAATTATTGAATAGTTTTTGTCTTTGTAGAAATAAATCCCCAAAACCATTTAACTTTAGACGATCGAAATAGGAAGGACCCATTGCATTGCGAAACGAAAGTATCGAGTCGAATGGTTTCCGATAATCCTAACTTAATCTTTTGTTTACCTATCGTAAGCAACGAATAGACGTGGGTGGAGAATGTATAGAGGCTGAAAATAAAATGTCACACGTAGTAGCGATATTTTTGCAACCAATATAAAAATGTATCAGAGGGAATTACTATTAAATATTAAATCTAGATTTACTTTAGTTCGTACCAAAATTTTTAAATCATATCAATGCTTGTTAGAAAATTGTTTTATAGATCAAAATGTGTAATTGTATGTATTGTACGGAGAAAATAAGATCGATTTCGGTCGACCTTCGAAGGAATTTCAACCAGTATTAGGTCAGACGTTTCAATCTGGTATCCTAAGCTCGACTAATAAAAATTGCTTGTCTGCTTGCATAATATCACATTCCACTTAACCCAGGATTGATCTTTCTACAATACGTAATCGAAATAGAAATGATCGATTCGCGGATCTGTGTCGAGCGATCATTTTTTATTCAGCTAAGCGATTGCAACGTTTCCAACCACCTTTCAAAAGCACTTTGGATAACGAGAAAATGAAACTTCGATCCAGTTAACGTTTCACGAGAAGAGTTCAAACGCCTTCAAGATCCTCTATTAATAAATTTGTAGTTTTTCAAAATGTTTTTTATCTTTTGAGCAAAGTCAGAATATGTCCTACGAGCTTTGTAGAACTCTAGAAACAGTCTAATTCATAAGTACAGTTTTAGATATAACTTTAATAGTTTACAGTGTCCTATGATAACATCCATTAAGTCAGACGGTCCTAAACTAACACTTGAATTGCAGATGGGATACTTTATTTTATAACATTATTAGCACCGGAAATTTTAATTGCAAATAATGAACAGAAAGTTTAGATTCATTCTAAAATTCTCGTTTACGTAAAATTCGTATATTAATTTGTTAATTGGAATTAGCTGCGGGGCTAACTTACAAACGAATCTACAATTTTGATTTGTTATTCATTTTATATTATACAGGGTGTTCGGCCATTGGATGATTCTAGAGGCCAAAATAAGACGAAAATGGAGAATATCAATTTCTTGACTGAGGCTTCATTAAAAAGTTATTAAAAAATTAAATTAAAAAATTTCAAATCATTCTGAAAAAAATATCTTTGGTTGTGGGGCTCAATTACAATCATTTTTGGTGAATACACATACCCCTGAAATCCTACCCAGTTTTGAGAAAAAAATTCGAGTAGGTACTGACATTTTTAAATGAAATTAAAAAATTTAAAATCATACTGAAAAAATTATATTTAGTTACATGGGTCAATTACAAGCATTTTTGGTGAATACACATACCCCTGAAATCCTACCCAGTTTCGAAAAAAAAATTCGAGTACATACCGACATTTTTAAACAAAACTAAAAAATTTCAAAATCATACTAAAAAAATTATATTTAGTTACAGGGATCAATTACAAGCATTTTTGGTGAATAAACATACCCTGAAATCCTACGCACTTTCGAGAAAAAAATTCTTTACCGAAAATATAATTTCTGACCAGAAATGCTTCCTCGAAATTTCATGCAAATGTTTAAAATATCATAACTTCTAAACGGATTGAAGGATTTTAATGTTTCAAAAAGCAATCAACGCGTATTTTGGGGAAGAATATGTAGAAATTCAAAAAATATTAGAAAAGTTACTCCTTAATCCCGTAAAGTGAGAAAAACCCCATAAAAATGGTCCAATTTTCAAAGAGCCATAAGTCCTACAATAGTAAATATATTTGAATGAAACTTTTTTCTGATGTAGAGTTCGTGGGTACCTACAAAAAAGTATTAAACATCTTTTCTGTAGGACGTCAAACAAATCAAAAACGAATTTTTAAGAAAAATCGACAGGGGATAGGTGCTGAAATTTTTCGGCGAAGAAAAAAAATTTCAAATCATTTTAGAAAAATTATTTTCGGTTGCAGGAGTCAATTACAATCATTTTTGGTCATTAGACATACCCTTGAAATCCTACTCGCTTTTGAGAAAAAAATTCAGTACGGGCGGAACTTTGAACGTTAATAACTTTTTAACGAAGCCTCCATCAACAAATTAGTATTCTTGATTTTCGTCTTATTTTGGCCTCTAGAATCTCCCATTAAAATTTTGTACATGTTGTATTAAAATGTGTTGCAAAATCGAAGTCGATCTTGTCGAAAAGTGTTTGTTTTCTGAGAATCGTTAAGAATCTCTAATAACAATAGTTACGAAAATTAGTGTTACATTTAAGTTGTTTTCCAATGTGTAAAAAAATTAAATACTATTCACATCTTTTTCTACGTTTAAACGTTCGATGTCACTTTCTTTGCGAACTTAAAATATCCTCTCTGAATAATTTAATTAATTGTCAGGTTGATACTACTTAAATATTTATAAAACCTGGTTCTTCTCAGATATTAAAAAACGTTGACATTTAACTCAAGCAAGACAGTATAGGTGACAGAAATTTTAACCAAGATACTAAAAGAATTAATTTCCAAAGTGTTCATAAAAACTACATCTAAACAGGATTCCCAAATTTCGAGATTAGAAAAATAAATGTACTGCTACAAATATCAGTTAATAATTTTTACCCGAACCAAAAGAATTAAATTCAAATGTGTTCAAAAAAAAAATAAATCTAAACAGAGCGTACAAATTTCAAGATTACAAAAATGAGTACTCCTACAAATATTACACAGATTTTAATTGCCTCGAAAAATAAATTTTTTACCTCGTAGATTTTTACAAGCGTTCGCTTGACATTGAACGTGCTAAAATAAGAAGGAAGAAAATGCAAGGCACGTGGAAAAAAGGGGTTCAGCGAAACGAAGTGAAATTAGATTATGATTCGAGTGGTGGATTGGGATTGTTAGGCTGACGGGACAGATTTTGCATGCCTAGGACGTCGGCTAATTAACTTGTAAGTAGTATAAGTCAGCGCTCGAACGACCGATGGCTGGCGGATGCGTTCGCGCGA